GCTTTCTTTCTTTCCAGAGAAACAATGAACCAACTATGGCAAAATGTTAAGACTTGACGAAAATGGATTATACGTATATACGTTTCTGTTGCATCATTACTCTACTTTAAACATTTCTCAACATTTTTTTTGTTTTGACCTCACTTTAGACTTACAGAGAAGTTGCAGAACAGTACCCATACATCCCTCACCTTAATGTTAGCATCTTAACACAAGAATAATCAGACCAGGAAACTAACTTTGGTATACTACTATTAACTAATATGAACATACTGACATCTTCCCAGGTTGTACACTAATGCCCTTTATCTCTATGATCCCACCTGCAGTGCATTCGGTTATTTCCCCTTGGTCTGTGACAGTTTCTCAGTCTTTGCCTATTATGACCTTGACACTTGACAGTTACTTTGTTGAATGTCTCACAATCGGGGTTTGTCCATTCTTAGGCCAAGAGGGTGCGTTTTTGGCAAGACCACCACAGAAATGATGCTGTGTCTTCAGTGCATCATATCACGGGGTCCATGATGTCTCTTTGTATTGTTAAAAATATTTCATAATTTCAAACACTGAATAAGTAGCTATAATAATCTGAGTTCTCCAGAGGAACAGAGCCAATAGTACAAATATGTATATATGTATATGTACATATACACACATATATAAATACACACACATACATATACACATAAGTATTTTTAAAAAGAGGTTTATTATAAGAAACTGGCTCACATGGTTATGGATTCTGAAAAGTCTCAAGATCTGCCACTGGCAAGCTGGAGACCCAGAGGAGCCAATGGCATTTTCCAGTCAGAGTCCAATGGCCTGAGAACCAGGAAAGCTGATAATGTAAGTTCCAGCCCAAGTCCAGACACCCAAGAATCAGGGGAGCTGATGATGTCAGATCCACTCTGAGTACAAAGACAGGAGAAGACCAATGTCCCAGCTCAAAGACAGGTAGAGAGAGAATTCTCCCTTCCTTCGTTTTTGGTTCTATCCAGTCAGGTCTTCAAAGAATTGGATGATGCCCACCCACACTGGGGAGGGCAATCTGCTTTACTCAGTTTGACGATTCAACTGTTCATCGCATCCAGAAACACCCTCCCAGACACACCCGGAAAAATGTTTAACCAAATAAATATCTGGGTACTCTGTGGTCCAGTCAGATTAACACACAACATTAACCATAAGAGCAGTTTAATTTCTAAATTATAAGTTTCCTACTCTATATATTTAAGTTCCAAATCCCATCAAGTCAAATACTGGCTTCAGGCCTAAAACATTGTAAATTCATGACATGCTGTCATTTTAAAACCTCAAGAGGCTTTTATTATGGATGATTTTGCTTCAAGAGAAAAGGTAATGATGAGCCGGCTTATACTATTTAGATAAGATGACTGTGACCCAAGGGAAGCTAGACCAGCAAGTCAAATGAAGGCCTTAAAGAATTAACACAGTGGTATTGTTACTGAAAACCCAAACCCGCTAATCTGTTACTAGAGGTGGGAGCTCAGCTGTACTTCAGAACTGTCTCTGCCCTTCGGCGTGGCATCGGCGTGGCATCGTAAGGGTGACCTGTGCCACTGTGGCTTCCGAAAATACCCGCATCAATCAGCACAGCTCAACTACTGACAGTGATTTTTCTCTGGGCAAAATAGGAATTTCAGGGACTTTTACATATCTTTAAATGAAGTGTGTGTGTGTGTGTGTGTGTGTGTGTGTGTATGAGAGAGAAATATAGAGAAATGGTATACATTTTTTTTTTATATTTTATTTTATTTTTTTAATTACAGGTTACATTCAATATTATTTTGTGTTAGTTTCAGGTACACAGCATAGTGGTTAGACAATCATGTACTTTACAAAGTGTTCCTCTTGATATATACATTTTTTAATCCTCACCTGAGGATATTTTTCCAGTTATCTTCAGATAGAGAGGAGGGAGGGAGGGTAGGAGAGAGAGGGAGGGTGAGAGAGAGAGAGAGAAACATCAGTGGGAGAGAGACACATGGACTGGTTGCCTCCCACACAACCTCGACCTGGGCAGGGGACAGGACCACAACCGAGGCACATGCCCTTGACGGGAATCGAACCCACAACTCTGGTCCACAGGCCGATGCTCTAACCACTGAGCAAACCAGTCAGGACAGTATAAATAATTTTTAAAATATCAGTTTTCTCTGAGGCTGCCCCCATTTAAGTTTTTTTTATCTTACTCTAAACTTCAGTCATTTAGGCTAGGAAATAATTTTCTGCTACTTAAATGTTTATATTTATCTCAAAGTGTTCTATTTCAATGGGCACTGGTACAACATACCCCTTCACTCCAGCTGCAGGGAAAGAAAGCTACTTATGAATTCTTTTCTAGGCTCCCAGAGTTCTGGAAGGCAGTCACAGAGTTTTTATGGAAAACCAAACAGAGGGATCCAGATGTCATTATGCCAAAGAGGAAGCTGAATATTCATTTTAAATCTCATTTCAGTCTGCCCCGAACGTGGACGCCACTGTTTCGGGCCAGTCCCATGTACCACCTCTTACAGGTATTTTAGAACACACTGTTTTACTCAAAGGAGTTTCTTTCAAGTAATCAGAATACAGGTTTGATTTTTGACTGGGTCAACTCTCCCAAGAATCTTTCAGGGAGGACGCGGGCAGTCAGCCTCCTGAAAGACAAGACTGTGTAGAGGGTGAGAATAGGGACTCTGGAGCCAGACGGCCTGCAGTCGATTCCGGGTTCTAGAGTTTATGATCTGGGATGGTGGGCAAGTTATAGAACTGCTCATACTTTGGTTCCTTCTTCGGTACAACAGAGCATATAATGATAACTGACTGAGTTGCTGTAAGAATGAAACAAACACATGCAAAGTGCTTAGGGCAGGACCTGGCATGTAGGAAGTACACCTCAAATGCTAGGGAATATATTGCTCCTGACTTACACCCCTGGGGATTAATCTAGGTCCCCACTCATTCGTGAGAGCTGTGAGCAGTCTGTGGCCCAGGCCAGGTGGCCTCTGTTGGGTAGTAGAGATGGTTTCTCCCCAGCCCCAACTCTGCCTATATTTTATATTTTTAACTCTTCCCCATATTGATTCCTTACCTCTTTTTTATTTGGGGGGTAGTTGTGGAGACAAACCTCGACTCTGCATCCTCCTCTCCTCTGTATCCACTATTCCTACTTCCTCTCCTCCCATTTCCCTCAACCTGGTGCAAATGTATTGATTCCATTCACATTAAAGCCAACCAATTACATTCATGCTGCCTAGTCCACTGGAATTTTGTTCTGTTTGTTTTAATCATGTCAAGTATTTCAATATACTTTGAATTACCTGGTAGAGTGCCTGATAAATGAACAGTACCATCCAAGTACAGGTTTACAGGATAAAATGCAAGTTCCCTAACAGGGGGCACTTCCATGACCTCACTGACCCCTGCTTGATCTCTCAACACAATTGGCTGTTTCTCACCTTGGTGTCCCAGCTCATGCTGGCCCCTCTGCCTGAACAGCCCTCTCCCCCCGCCATACCCCTGCTTTTCACCCCACTACCTTCTTTCCTCATAAGTACATCAGAAGCAATGTCTTCTAGGAGGCTTTTCCAACCCCCACCCCCCACTCTCAACCACGGCGGCACGAGGCACCTCCTTCTGTTCTCCCACACCACTATTTCTAACTTCTGTTGCTGCACTTACCTCTCTGTGCTAAAATAGGATGTTTATGTCCATCTCACCAAATAGGCTCTAAATTCCCTTAAAATGGCAACCATCTTAGACATCCATGTGACAGGAGAGAAGTAACCATCCTTCTGCCTTCAAGAGGGATCCTCTTCAGCCCATGATGGTATGGTTACAAAATATTTGGGAAGCAAGGGCTAGCTCTTGTGGCTTTCTATCCTTTCTCTTTCCTCTTTTCTGACTATCACTTGGGTCCTTGTGTTGCCGTGGTAACCAACAGTCCCAGAACACAGATTTCTGGCAGTTGAACTTTCAGTCACCAAGACTCAGGATCTGAAGGACTTCGAACATCCTCAGCTTAGGGCTAAGCTGGTGGCACCTCTTTCACGTGGGCAGACACCAGGGCAGAGAATGGCAGAGTCTGCAACATGCACGTGCGTGTGTGTGTGTGTGCGCGCACGCGCGCAAGGGCACGTGTGTGCCCTCCTCCCTGGCCCCCACTGACTTACTGGGACACCATAGAAAAAGCTGGACAAAAAAGTGCCATCAGATGGTGGGAGGATGGGCATCTAACCTGTCTGGAAAGCAATCTGATGTCAACTTTGGTATCAGAAGCCTTTAATATGTTTGTGACTTTTGATCCATTCAACCTACATACGGGATTATAAAGAGAGACAAAGATTTATTGACAAGGGGTTTTAATGCAGATTTATTTATTAAAACAATAACCACCACCTATTGGTCATTAATAAGACAGTGGTTAAAAATGAGAAAATAGCCAAATATATGTTTATTTCAGGTTAGGCCATAAAATAATGTTTCAACTGATGTTGACATCATATCCACAATGAACATGAATGGGAGTCTGTATAAGTATTGTACATATGAAAAGAAAAGATTACAAGGAAATCCACCAAAATGTTTTTAATATGGTTATCATTATTTCTGGACAATGGGGTCATAGGCATATTTATTTTCAACTTTATATATTTTTATATTTTTGAGTTTCATATAATGATCTCTTTTTTTTTACAAGACAAGTTCTTTCAACTGTAGTAAGATGATGTGAGGCATCAGGTGAAGATGCTTAGTAGAAGGAACTATTACACAAAGAGATTTTTAAAGGGGGAGGCTGCCTCTTTTGCCTGCATTGGAGATTGCAAATTAGGGTGAAATTCTAGCACAGTGGGATAGTTCCAGATCGAAAAAGGAATGGATAATGCTACTGCTTAAGTGCAATGACTCCCGCTTCTTCTCACCAACCTCATCTATTTTTTCTTTCTTTGGAAGACTCCTGAGATGAGGGAGACCTAAAGTGTGAGCCTGAGACCCCCATGGCAGACTCGTGCCCCTGCAGCAACTGTGCAGATGCTGAGGACTGCAGCTCCGGATCGAACCTGAGCCTCTCTGTGGGCTACTACCCCGACGAGGACTCCTTCTCCTGTGAAGATACATCTCCCAGTGGGCCCTCAAGCCATTTGGTCTCTCCTTTCCAAGGGTCACAGAAGACTGAAAGTATAGGGGGACTCCTGGGGAGACAAAGCCAAATTCAGGATGACCCAGAGCAGTTTTGCAAACTCAGCATCACCCTGGCCTGGGATGTTGATACGGGCTGTAACCATTCAGATTCAGTCATTAGTTGGGATCTACATGGAGATAACCAGTGGACAGACAAGTACCCCCAAGAAAAGGCACAACTGACTCTCAGCAAACTGGATGGGTTTGTGAAAAAGCTTGAGCAATTTCTAGAAAAACAGAAAGATGATGAAGATGATAAGTCTATGTTCCCTGAATCTGCTCAAAAGTTAGATTTCCAGCTGTCCAGCTGCACCCGTCCAGATGTGGCTCAGGCCAGTCATCAAGGACATGATACTTGTCACGACTTGCCCATGTTCCACCCACCACAAAATGAAGACGTCATCCAGTTTCCACAGATTCCTTTAAGGCCTCAGGAACATGAACTTGCTGAAGTGAGTACAGAGGGGCCTCCCAGGCAAGCAGGGGGCAGGCCTGGTAGAGGGGCTGGGGTGAAACGCAGAGAGCATTGCTACCTGCTGTGCAGCAGGGCAGGCCTTCTGGGTGTCTGACATGGCCAGGAGCAGGAGCAGGAGCAGGAGAAGAGCAAGGGAAAGGGTCAGGGTGGAGCTGAAGGGAAAATACCAAGGACCACTGAGGAAGAGAAGAGGATAGGAAAGCAAAGGCTATCAATTAGGATAAAAGAAAAAAAGTGTGAGCGTCTGTGTGTATGTGTTTAAGTATTCATGAGTGTGTAAACTTTGCATTTACAGTTGGGTTACTTTTGGTAAAAGGACTTGAGTCCCATGAATGGGTAAATATGGTCCCCATGTTGTCCAGGATACACATCTCACTCATCATTACTTTCCTCGACAGACAGTAAGACAGGCAACTGGCAGACAAAGAACAAGTACTAAAAAGATCTCCCCAATCTCATCAGATCAGCCGGAGGAGGAGGACACTCATTCCAGCACACAAGCCCTCTCCTTTCTCAAGTTCAGGCGGGTCTTCCGCTGGCTAAGGCAGCAAGTCCTCTCCTCCTTTGGGGGAAGAGAGCATCCCAAGAAGGCCACCAAGTACCCCCTTCAGCTGACACAAAAGAAAAGACTCTCTCTCGAAAGCAAGGGAATCCAACTTCAAGAATACATCGAATAACAACACCCTGTATCACCAGTTTTTAAAACATTTTTGATTGCTCATGTTCTACAACCCACGTGAGTCACCGCCCCCCCCACCTCGCCCGCCACCAAATAAACAAAACAAATATCCTTGTAATTCATGTCTTCCTCTTCCAGCTCACCCTCTTGACTCAGGCTGAACCATATATGTTATGTAGAAGACTGAAATATATTCTCTGGAAAGTTCAAGTAGTATTATTCTTTCTCACACGAAGGTGTTTTCTCACTCCTCACTCCCCTTCCCATTGTATTTCACCCTATTTTATCACTAACCCAAACCCCTGTCTTCAGAAGGCAGCAGGATATCCCATCAGATTCCCAGTTTGGCAGTATGGCTTTGGTTGAAGTTCTGGGGCAAGTGGCAATGAGTACTTGTCACCCGGGAAGGGCTCCGATCGGCAGTGTCCCAAGAGTTCAGACTGTGGTTCGGAGGCGCCTAGTGGGTCTCACTGGTTCTAGCATGTGTTGCCTTGGCTACCAAATAAGTGGCCCACCTAGGAGGAATGTGAGAATTGGAAATGCTACTTAACCACTTTAAGCCAAACTTGCCTCATTCGTGAAATGGGAAAGATGATAATAAATACCACATAGGGTTGTTATGAGAATAAATGAGATAAAAGAAGCACTTCATAATTATTACTGTTGTCGTTGCTATTATTCATTCTCTCCAGAAGTCTTCATCCAAGGGACATCCAAGAGTAAGAGTTTAAGAGTCAATTCTCACTGAAATATTTCCCACATAGAAGCAGTATTTACTGAAAGTTATGGGTTTCAGCAGATCCTGACTCAACCAAGTTCTCTCCCGCCCATTCCCCACTGTGCCCTCTGAGTTTCCTTTACATTGTCACCAACTTGCCTCTAAATGTCAAATTCTTTGAAGGCCTGTCCGTACCACCCTGACCTTTCCCCATTATTGTTCTTGACTCGCCTCCTCAGTACCACAATCATCCTCCTCATTCACCCACAGGTTCTCAGGAACTCTCCTTCTTCAGCTTTTGCTACATCCTATATTACCTTCAGAGTTCATGTCATGAAGTGTATTAATTTTTTAGTCTAAAATTCCTTCCTTCCCTCAACTTCAATTCCCTTATCCCCTTCCTTCCTCTTTTCCTTCTTTCCTTCCACAGATATTTAGAACACAGGAATGCAACATACTTTTCTGGCTTACTCAAAACAAAACAAAAACAAACTCAACCTGTGGGCTCAAGTGGCTTATTATTTAAGATAAAGCATGTAAACACGACTATAAAGGGGTATGGGTGAGAATAGTCTTATGAGGTATACGCTGGGTACCAAAGAATAATCAATTCAACATGGGAAGGTTGATTTTAAGAGGTTTTATATCAGAGTTTCCTTGAGTTACAAATGAGGTTAGTTTAGGCCACTGGACAAACTGGTGTGGAGTAAGGCGTGCGATTTGGGCAGGTTGCATGAGCAGACAGTGGAGAAGATATTGCCCAAGGAAAGACAACACGATGAGAGGGAAGAGATAAAAGAAGAGAGCCTTCTTAGTAATATATGATCCTGGTCACATCCTGAATCTCCTCAAAGCCAGACTCCTCACTTTACCCACCTCTCTGAGAACATCTTTCCATTGGACTAGCTCCTCCACCTTCACTTGCTCTTTGACTTCACCAAGACTTTGAGTTCCTTTACCATACCTGTTCCAAGAGGTTCATTCGCTTCCTTCCAGATCCGATGTACGCACCTCCTCCCCAAACTAGCATACCCACCGCGTCTCGCAGCTTTCTCTCTTTCTCAGTGCCTTGCTCTCTTCTTCTCCTAGATCTTTTTTCATCTATTCTCACCAAACTCCCCAACGGACACTTTTGCTTCTCATAAGGGCCAATGCACAAAACAGAGGGATTCCCTTCTCTATTCCCTGGTGAACTTCCCCCACTACCTTCCCAAGTCCCCCACTGCCAGGGCAACTTGTTCTTAGAGACTCTGCTCTAGGGTTACTATGGGGCCATGACTGAGTCTTCCAGGTAAAGTTGACCCTGCCTTTTCTTAAACTGTCCTCCAGTTCCCACCCTGCCACCCTCACACCACGACTGTACTTTTCAGACCTCTCCACATGACTATTCACCTATACTGGACTCTGACCCCTTGAGGGCAAGCACCAGGTCTTAGTTCTGCAAGATCTTAACACAGTATCTGATGTAGAATGATCTCTCTGTCGCTATACAACCAGCAGTGTTAAGGGCAGAAATAGGGTTGGGGTGGGCGTGGCAGAAGAGAAAATGGCTGTCTATGAAAGGTCAAGCGAGGTGGTGACGACTGAGAAACCTAAGACCAGAGGACTTCAGCAACTAATTTCAAAATGTAGTTCAACAAATTTACATGGAGCCTTAATGTTGGGTCAGACTAGACACTACGATACGCCCAAAAGAAAAATGACATCATCACAGCACATGTAACCAGAGTTTTGTTATCATTTTAAATCAAGCTCTAAGAAAAACTCAACTAAAATGAGTTAAAAGATTGCCCACGATAAAGAAGTCTTGTTCATTTTTCAGGGTTGTATAAACTTGCTTGACAAATATGAACCTATCTCTGTGATTCAAGCAATGTAATCTACAAGCCCTTATACTAAATAATCTTCGCAAAGAACTAGAATTCTAAATATTCTTTGGAGTTGCCATGCTACATCTCAGAGAGTGAGTCAAAGTGTTTAAAAACAGGAAGTATTTCTGTACCTTCTCATTCATTATGGTGTCAAATATGCTATGAAGTTAGTAGCTGCACGCCAACGGTTCTCTGCTTTGTGTCACACACGTGGGCTGGGGCTGGGGCTGGGGCTGGGGCTGGAGGAGGCCCTCTACACATCGAGAGCACTGGAAGTGGTCACAGAGAGACACTAGCTTTGCTGTCACCACAAGCCTCTTGTAGAGTTCCTATACTTGCCAGTCACTTGCTAATCTAATTAAGCAATAAATTTGGGGATTCACTGTCTCTAGACTCAAAACTAAAATCATTCCTTCAAGTGAACTGCTCAACCTTGCAACCCATAAAGCTCAGCTGCTTGAATTAGCAAGATACTGCCTTAAACATTCATATTCGAGAATCTATACCACCACCATAAGATAGATAAGCCAGAAACACAGTGTGAGAACATATCGAGTAAAGGTAGGGAGTATTCAGCTCTCACCAAATCGGAATAGGTTAATGTAAATTTTATAGACCACCCCATACGATGCCAATGTCTTACTCAACAGGATCCCAATGAGAGAAAAAAGTACGTGGTCATACCATACGAGCAAAAGAGAGGCAAATCATTTTTCCAAACTGAAAGGACACCACGTGAAAATTCACGGCTCAAGAGGATGCAGAGGTCCAGGTCTACCTATCACAACAATACTGGCCCCAAATCCTCTTACAAAACACTGAAAAGAAAAATGAAGCAAATTGTAAGTGAATTCACAGAGTGCCTTGTAAGGTCCTTACCTCAATATTTAAAGAGAAGTTTTGTTTAGGTAGGATAAATAATTAAGTGCTTCAAAAATATCTTTTCTTTATGAATTGCAAGTGGGAGAACTTCTATTGCATGCAGGGTACTCTCTAATTTCAAGAAGGATGGGTGGGTTTTATATTGCGTTGCCTAAAGTCAATCTTTTCCTGCTACCCCCTAATACCTCAACAAAGAGAACAACACTGCTTTCAAAAGTGAAATAAGATCCGCATCAGATAACACTGAGTTTCTGAGTGAGCCAGTCAGGAGCAGGGTAGGTATAAAAGCCTTAGGATAAATTCCCCAAAGGATTATAAGCCTAGATCAAGAAATCCCCCTACTAAACAATTTCTGTTTACTATCCCACCTTTCAAAGGGATTCCATGGTTTTGCTGCCCATTTGATTTCAATCTAATAAGCCTCATAAAGAACTACTCCTGAGGCATTTTCAAATGAGAGGGCAAACATCAACTATCTTTTCAGACTGTGACTGTTGAATGAAAATTCATCACATTATTATTGAATTTTCTTGGTGTAGAAGGCAATAACAATGGCAATTTGCTTTTCCTCATCTGAATCAATATTTATTATTTTAAGTGTAAATCCCCCAAACTAAGCATTCATGCACACACTCTCTCCTTCTCTCTCTCTCTCTCTCTCTTTTGGAAGTTTCCCGTGTATGCGCTCACAAAGTGAAGGAAGACACTTTGAGATAAACCAAAGAACTTATATGCATGTATGCGTAACCAACGGACATAGACAACAATGCTTGGGGTGGCGGGGGAGGGGGCTGGATAAGGAGGAGGGTGTCCGGGGGGGAAAAAGGAGAAACATTTGTAACAAAAATTAATTTATAAAAATAAATAAATAAAGACACTTTGCACATTTTAAATATTAATATGTTTGGACAGTTGTTTTCGAGTTTCACTTTTATATACTCTTCTGCCATCTGTCTTTGGGACCTAGATTTTTTTCCTCCAGACAGGGATGGGGGTGAAAAGGAGAATTTTCCTTCAGTGAAGTGACTTCAGAAATTCAGTGAGCACCATATTGCAACCACCAACATAACTGATTCACATAAGGATCAAAAATAAATGCTAAAAGTACTGGGTGGATGACTGACTTTGGGGAACAAGACATGCATATGGTCTCCAAGAATTACCCCACAGAGATAGTCCCAGAGACGTGGAAGTGGGGTACAAACTGACAATCCCCTGAAAGAGGGGGTGAGGGGGGGATAAACCACAGAACTTACATGCATGTACGCATGAACAATGGACATGGACAACAAAGGTGGGGACAGGGTGGGGAGGGAGGGAGAGGGGGGAATCAGTGGAGGAAAAAGGAGAAACATTTGTAACAAAAATAAATTAATTAAAAAAAATAATAATAATTACCCCACGGATTCTTTTAAGTTATCAGGGAGATTAGGTACCTTTACAATGGAGAGGTCCAATGAACAGCCACTGAATCAACTGATGAAAATTAGCCTGCCTACCATCATATCAGGTACCTTCTGAAGAGAA